TAATAATTATTATTATTTTTTAAATGATAATGAATATAGCTGCAAAAACAACATAATAACATTAAAAATTGCTGCAAACGGAGGAGGCTCTTGACTAGCATCTGTGGTGTAGCGGATAGGCGCTTCCATGTCACATGCAAGAGACCTGAATTCAATCTCAAAAGTGCAAATTTTTTTCAAGTATCTCTGTCTATCTGATGTGATGTTTGTATCCCTCTCATCCCTGGTTGGCCTGAAAGGCAGGGAGAGGGGCCTGCCTCCTAAATCTATTTTTTTGGGGGGCGGATAAAAAAGATATTGCCACTTACTCTACAACGAATGAGTTATGAGTTGAACTAAATTGTTTTGAAGGGGCATAAAAACAACTATATCTTTTTTTTTTAAAGAAAAAAAAAGATATGGTTACTAGCTTAACATTCAACGAGTATCTAAATTGTTTTGATGGGGGCATAAAAACACCTAAATCTATTTTTTAAAAATAATTTTTGTTAAAGATATGGCCACTTACTCTATACCCAACAAGTTGATCAAAATTGTTTCGATTGGGGCATAAAAACACCCTTTCTTTTTAAGAAAAAAAAAGATATGATTACTTGCTTTACACTCAACGAGTTGATCTAAATTATTTTGATGGGGGCATAAAAAATAAAAACACCAAAATCTATTTTTTAAAATAATTTTCTTTTAAAGATATGCCCACTTACTCTACACCCAACAAGTTGATCTATATTGTTTTTATAGGAGTACAAAAACACCTAGATCAAAATCTTGGAAAAAAAACGCACAAAAATACAAATAAAAGAAAAAAGTACGCCAACTTACTTTACAGCCGACGAGTTTCTTGGCTTCCACACGCGATGTGCCACATAAGTCCATGCACAGCATGTTCCCAGTGTACACCACTAGTATATTGCACATTGACTGGAACCGAAGGAACGAGAGAGGTAAAAAGAAGATATAAATTCTTCACCAGCATATTCAATACCGTCTAAGATAGGAAAAGGAAAGAAAGAGAGAGACCAAGAGATGACTTTTCTTCATTTGGATATTGAATACCATCTACAATGGAAAGGAATGAAAGACAGAGATAAATAGATGACTATTCTTCCCTTGTGTATTGAATACCGTCTACGCTAAAAAAAGGAAGGAAAGAAAGAAACAAAGTGACAGTAATTGTTGATTTGTATATTGAATACCATTTACCAAGCTCGATAACATTTAACTGAACTTTAAAAATGAGCCAAAAGCTCAGTTACCACGGACTCTTAAGCTAAGGAAATAACTAACCTTAGGCGCCCATTTTCTTACTAATTTTACCTCTTAAAGCAGGTGACCGCCACCTACTTCTTTCGTAAATATCTCGACTTGTATTTAAGATAAATGGATACTCTTTTCATCAAAATAAAGACAAGTGAACAAGCTTTAAGATGATACCAATAACTCTACATGCCCAAAAATTGACGAGAGCTTGATTCTACCACGCTGCCTCACAAATGTTCTGTCTGTTCTATCAAAATCCTAAGATTATTCAGAGTCAGAGTCGTTATTAAGATATTCAGAGAACTGCATTCGAAAAAGCTTGACATGATGTGAAACTCAAAATTTTGAACATCAAATTCCTCCAAAACTAGGTACGGGGCAGAAAGAACTTTGTAATTCAAAGATAGCGAGTTGTAGGCCTGGCTGCCACAAGAGGATATGGGAGAGGGAGGGATCTCACCTTGTTTGTTTGTTTTACTAAGGTTTTACAGCGCTCGCAGCAGCATAAAGTCATATGAGCACCAAGGGGGGGGATTTAAAACATTTTTTTTTATAGTAGAGGGTTTTACGGAGTTCGCAACTGCATAAGGTCATACGAGGGCCAAGGTGTGGATGTCAACAGAGAAGCCCAAACGGGGAATCGGACTTACTCTGCTCACATCTCTAGCCTCAACAGCATAAAATCTGCTTCGACTATCAAGGCACCTAGGAAATAGCAGTTCACAAGAGAGTGACTAACATACAAAAGAAGTAGAGGAAAAAAATGACGATAGTAAGGATGAGGAAAGAAAAAGCAGCAGTTCCCCCAATGTTGTTCCGGCACAGTATGAGCATGACATTAATAAATCAGCCCATCTACAATTCTACTGTGAAATAGGAACATGTTAATAACCCTCCACCCCCCCCCCCTTTGGGAATATCTTACCTTGAGCAGACGGAGGTGGAGGGACAGCTTCAGCTTGTGTCCACTCAACGTGTGTGCACTCGGCCGGGCACTCTCCGCGCCGGGGCAGGCACCGCTGTCCCCTTGGAGGACATGTGAGGGTGTGTCCCGCTCGTGTGCGAGCGGATCGTTTGACCCAGGGTCAGTGTCCGACACAGACAGCGACGGTGGCACCATGCCCGCCCCACCGGTCAGCACCATCTCAACATCGGACGAACATTTTCTGGTCAGCTCTTGGTGAGATTGTAGGTCCCCGGCTTCCGCTCCCGCCTCCAGGTCGTTGACCCCTACACCCGGGTTTTGGGAAGTGTGCTGTGTATTGTGGGCCGGGGTGAGGAACGAGCTCTCGTCAATCATCATGGAGACGAGGCTGTGGCTGAAGCCACACAGGCGCTGCAGGATGATGACCAGGTCGACGGCCGAGTGAGAGATGGGCAGCATGGCCTGGCGACTCTCCGGTGGGGCAGCGGGGGGCGGGGGGAACGACACGTCAGACGCCATCGAATCCATGAAGTCGTTACGCTCGGTCACATGATCGACAACGCTGGAGGCGCGGGATGACACGCTGTGCGGCACGTCTGCTCGCAGCAGATACCTGTGGGCGGTGGCCTGGGTGGTGGGTGCCTGCACACAGCCGGGAGACGAGCTTCTGGTAAACACGGGCTGAGCTAGGCTGGGGAAAGATTCCGCGTCAGACTGCGGCTTCTGGGACACAACCCTCAGGGGAGGGAACTGGAACTCTTCATCCGCCGACTCCTCTCCGTCCAAAGACTTCTCAGCGTCGTTCTCCTCCTCTTCCGACGGCGTTATTGACGGGATCCCCACCGGCGAGGACGGGGCTAGGGTCCTGGCGTTGTCTGACAAAGCGCTGATTTCTTCGTTGAGCAACCCCCCGTCGCAGTTGAGCACCTGCTCGCTGGAGCTGACACATTTCTCCCCGTTGGACTGCCGCTTCACGTGCTGGTTCCTGTCAAACTGGACATCACAACGGCCCTGGTCTAGCTTCTCCGGCAAAGAGTACTGCCGGAACGCCGAGAACCGAACCACACTGGCACCTTCCTCCTCCAAGTTGAGTGACCGAGAGTCGAACTGGGTCTTGAACTTTTTGCTTTCCTTTTCCTCAACGGGCCCATCAGCTGTGCAGGCCTCGGGTGGCTGCTGTTCAAGGTTCGATTCCTGTATGGCTTCATAATGTGCGCTGGGTACATCTAGTTCCGGGGCTGGGTTCTGAAGAAACACACAGGATTATATCTTACAGTCAGGGACATGTGGTTACTTGAGGGAGGCATTGCGCTGCCAAGAGCGAAATGCTCGCAGCTAAAGGGATTTGAAAATAACAACATATCTTACAGTCTGAACAAATAGGAAATCTCATTACCTTCAAGTTAATAATAATAATAGTGCTGACAACAATTGACCACGAGAATATGAGTACGGAATAACAAAGGTATTCTAACACTAAAATGGAACAATGAGTGTTGTGGATACTTGGCCACTTTTCTTTACATTGAAAACCTTCCTGGCAACCCGGCTGGTGGGGGGAAGTTTTGGTCGAGAGAGTTTGCACATAATACGCGGGTCACGTGAAAGGGAGACTTTAAGTGAGCTTCAGGCCACAGTCGGTCACTCAACCAGTCACGAACAGTCGGTCATTTTTTTTTTAATAGTAGAGGGTTTTACAGCGCTCGCAACTGTATAAGGTCATATGAACGCGCAGGACACACCTAATACTTTTTAGTTGGTAGGAAATTTTGAATTCTGCCCGGGTGGCGGCCGAAGCCTACTCTTATCGATTTTAGACCACCAGAAGATCAGGGGTGTGGCAGAAAGACAGCTGTAAGAAGGAGTCAAGGAGTAGAAGTAGAAAGGCTGCAGAAAGAGTCAGGAGCCCAGAGGAGGGGACAAAGGAGGTGAGGTGAGACGAAAGAGGAGACGAAAGCAGACGACAGAATATTGCTAGAGAGCAGGAAAGGAGGTGAAAGGAGACAATTTTAGAGAAGAAAATTTTTTGGTCGCTACCCGGATTCGAACCCGGGACCTTTGAATGAGAGGCCAACACCATAACCTCTAGGCCACGAGAGCCCCCCCAGTCAGTCACGAGGAAGGGAAGGTCAAGTAAGCATCGAGTCAAAAAGCAGTCTCACTTTTATTCTCGCACGAGGGAGGGACAGAGCCAATGTCAACTCGCAATACGGAAAATCAACTACTCTTGTTTCACGCAAAAATAAAAGGTATTTGAGCTGTTGAAAAGGTAGGAGTTCGTCTTTATTACATCAAGATATTCGTCTCAATATTTGTTCGTGTTAGTTTAGTATGGGGTTTTAAGGCGCTCGCAACTGCATAAGGTCATATGAGCGCCCGAAACACAAGTTAGTTTTGTTCACAACAGTTTACTGTACGGCTGGCTCGGGTCAGTAGTTAGATCTTAAAATGTTAAAATGTTTAAAAATCAGTGTAAATATATATATATATGTATATTTTCAATCTAAAACAATTTTCCTAGATAACATAAAAATTTTAAATAGTTCAAATTTCACTATATAATTTGCCATTAAGGCCAAAGGCCTTCATAAAATTCAAAATTCTGTTGGGACCAACGACAGAAAAAAATGTCTTGCAATTTCTTGCATTTGAAGTATTTCCTGCTGTGTGATCCGTAATAATGAGAAAACACAAACAACAATAATTACACCCGTGTAGAGTCAAACATCAGATTTATGCCAGTCTTGCAAAGCACATCGGATTTACCTCAGAAAAAGATAAAAATCATAATTATTAAATATATTATTTGTCAACATTCCAATTAAAAAAACAGTTATTGTAAAGACGATTTCTTGAAATATACGCCTTGCCTGAAATATACACTTAGCCTGAAATATACATCTACACCCCAAGGTGATGGTATGAGGGCAAATGTCGAGCCAAAAACAGAAAATTTGAAGAAAAAAAAAAGGCCCACCAGCCACCCAAAAAACGGCCGATTTCTTTGATTTCCGTATTTTGACGAGCGCCTGATTCCACCACGATGCCTCACATGTATACGTATAGAATTTCTCTTGACGTCAAAAGCTATTTGTGAAGCGTGCTGACAAAATTAGTCACTTCTCGGATTCGGACCCTACGGAAACAGATACATCACACTTATATGCTAATTTTTACAATTTATAAGCATGAAATAATAAAAGGCATGTTATTCTGACAGAAATAATATGGCATTAATGGAAAATCTGCAAATTTGACCCTAGTGTTGATTTTTGGCCAATATCTCCATTTGCGGATTGCGAGAAGTAACTCATTTTGTCAGCGCGCCTCACATTTGTCAGCTAGCCACACTTGGGACGATTGGGCGACTCACCACCCCGGGAGTGGAGCGCAGGGAGGAGACGACGCTGCTGAAGGCACTGTTCACAGACGGGGAGATGCTCATGGTGGACAGAGAGCGGCTGCATTTGCTGCTGGAGCCCGGGGACGACGGACTCTGGTACTCACCCACGGGCGCTGGGAGGTCTAGCTGGGAGCTCGTGTACTGAAATGGTGGGATGGTGGGATGGTGGGATGGTGAGATGGTGAGATGGTGGGATGGTGGGATGGTGGGATGGTGGAAAGGGGAAATGGTGGGATGGTGGAAAGGGGAAATGGTGAGATGGTGGGACGGTGAGATGGTGAGATGATGAAATGGTGGGATGGTGAGATGGTGGGATGGTGAGATGGTGGGATGGTGGGTTTGCGAAGTGGTGAAATGGTGGGATGGTGAAATGGAAAGATGTGAAATGGAGAAATGGTGGGATGGTGGGATGGCACGATGTGAAAAGGAGAAAGGGTGGGATGGTGGGAATGGGAAAATGTGGGATGTTGGGATGGAGATGGCGGAATGGTGAAACGAAAAAATGGAGGGATGGTGAAATTGTGGTAAGGTGAGATGGTGAGATGGTGGGATGGTGAAATAGTGAAATGGTGAGATGGTTGGAAGGTGGGATGGTGGGATGGTGAAATAGTGAAATGGTGGGAAGGGGAAATGGTGGAATGGTGAAATGATGAAACGGTGAAATGCTTAAATGGTGAAATGAGACCTCTATCAACACCATTAGATTATTTAAGATGCGGGACCTCTGAGTTTAACTTCCATCTCCGAAAGGACCGAGCCAAATGGGACAGTCGTGCAAAGTGCCTTTCCCAAGGACATAACGCCAGACCGAGGTGAGATTCAAACCTCTGAACCCGCAATCTCATCACTATTTTAAACTTTACAAAAATAAAACAGCCCTCCCCTCCCCCC